TGTGTATCCATGTATTGCCTGCCTGTAGGTAAGTGCACCCATGTCGTGCAATGCCTGCGGAGGACAGAAGAGGCTGTCAGATCCCCTGGAACTGGAGTTATGGACAGTTGTTAGCTGCCATGTGGGTGCTGGGATTCGAACTCAGGTCATCTGCAAGAACAGTGTTCTTAACTGCTGAGCCCTCTCTCCAGCCCCTGAAATTTCATTAAAAAAAAAAAAACATGTAACATAAGTTTAAAAAAGGAAAACATCCCTATTCAAACTAAGCGTAGGTAGTTTCTAGCACACTGAACTATTTACTCTTTTACAGCCTGAAGAGCTACTTTATCAACATACAGACAAGGCAGCTGCAGCTGAGCTACAAGACAGGTAACATAATATCCATAAAGCCACAGGCAACCCATCACTAGAGGTGTAACACCAAAGCTTTAAACTCGGCCTGGATTGATGGGAAATACTTAGAAGAGTTAAGACTTCATGTCTATGGATACTATAAATGTGATCTCTAAATCCCATGGCTCAAATGAGGCTTTGGGACAGAGGTGAACACTACTAACATGTAGTTCTCCAAACACTACCTCAGTTTACAGAGCTTAGCATCATGTTATTATGTATCTTGCTGGCACACATTATAATCCTCAGCTTAAATATGCCTCTTTTGTCCAATTAGTGGCTTATGGGGCTTTACTAGTTTATGAACCTAACCCATACAGAAGGTCAGTTAAAGCCTGTGAGTCTCTAATTTCACTAACACTGTACAACTGAGAAACTGAGTTTGGAGTGGTCCATGTACTTGTTAAGTGTTAAAGGGGACTTCTGAGATCAGACAGAGGATTCTGATTTCAAAGTCTGTCTCATCTCTATTGACTCCATTTTCTCCATAAAGCTTTTCTGTGGGATCCCATACAAACAATCCTGTGTTTCATCTACTGGCTTGAGCATACATACTGCTGACTGAATTCAAGCCACTTTAATGTCTTTTAAGTGTCTGGCAGTCCACCCATACTTTCTTGCTCAGACCATCATAAAACCCAAGACAAAGATATGTGGCTCAGTGCCCCAAAGAAGCAACCCCTTTAGCTACTGAGCAATGGCAAGCCATGAAGATCTCTAGATCTGTCCATCTTCTCCTAGACCTTTAAAGTGGGCAAAGTCAAATAACAAAAGAATGGAGTTTATTTTTATGAACAGGATTGAAAAAATACTAAAAGAAAAAATCATGGATTGGAGGCCACGCCATCTGACTCGGTGGAACAGGTATTGTACCTCCACCCTGCGCCACTTCCTGCCTCTGCTGGAAAGAAGCCAGGGGGAAGGTATAGAAGAGGACCACAGAGCAGAGCTGCTCAAACAGCTGGGAGACTACAGGGTAAGCACCAATGGCTGGTGAAACAGCCTGCAGATTTCCTCCTTTTAAACTGGAAGTTACCCAGGGGGTTGAGGGATCAACTTACCTGTATAGCTCCATGAAGCACATGTAAGGTACCACAGACTAAAAAAAATGTGATTAAAAGTAATTAACCTATCACTAACTTTAAAAACAGTGCCCCTTGAAGACAAAAATAGCACTTTTTGTAATAAAATTCTATGAAAAATAACATCTACAAAATATATTCTCAAGTATTAAATACAATGGAAACACTTGGCTAAAGCATTTGACTCAACTGTACATAAAGGGGGAAATAAACACTTAGGTTTTAAGGGTATGATTTTAGAATGATGGCTTTTCAATGCTAACAAAAGTTCCCAGACTACATGTACCGCCTACTGCCTGACGATTGTCATATGTTCATATCCTGTATGATACGGATAAGAACAGGCAGTTTGATAACTAGTACAATTAGCTAAACAGTGTGCCGGTCACATGGATTAGTCACTGTGTGAAACACAGAACTAGGAATTAGCAGAATATTTTTCAGTTCAAGTAAAAGTAAACTTAAGACTTGAGCAGTGGGAAACTGACTTCGGTAAAACTTCAGAGCTGAGCAGCCATCCAGCCTGTCCCGCTTCTCGGCAGGTCTTCTCACTTTGCTCTTCTTCTCCATGTGACACTCCTCAGAGACGCTTGACTCATGGAGACAAACACTAGATCAGGTCCCAGACACATCTGCACACACAGCCCAAGCAGGTGAGGGCATGTGTGTCATTATTGATACGACGTTTCTGAGTAATGCAATCACTTGTCCTGTACATTACTTTTTGTGTCTGGACTGGAATGCACTGATTATCTTCACCTGCGTCTGTGGACCTACATGGGTTGCCTGCACCCTAGAGGCTATCAAGAAGTGAGGTAAGAACAGTGAATGACTGGTGACTCACAGGCATTGGAACATTAGTATGTGAGCAACTAAAACAAAGAAACTAAGCCCTCTTCATTTTCTCTACTGATAATAGTGTTGAACAGAAAAGCAGAGATGACCTCATGGGTCAGAAGACCTAGTATTAAGAATCACTTAATTTACACAGAAAAAGATGTATTATCTTCAAACTTCACTAATGAGTACAAATGGGCTCTTTTTCCTCAGTTCTCTGGATTTCCCCTTCACATGCCTTATTCCGAAGTGAAGCCTTTAATTGAAGCCGTGTACAGCACTGGAGTACATAATATTGATGTTCCTAATGTTGAATTTGCTTTAGCTGTATATATCCATCCTTATCCCAAAAATGTTTTGTCTGTTTGGATCTATGTTGCTTCCCTTATACGTAACAGGTAATTTTTCCCAATGTGCTTTTTATATTAAAAACTGTTCTGTACGACAGTTTTCAATTATGATATCAAAAGAAAATAATATTTTTGGTTAATGAGATAAAATTATTACTATTTTCAAATTCTGTAAACCTGTTTTATTTAGTCTGTGTCGTTTCTGACACTTTGAAGCTGCAGTCAATGGAGGCTATCCACAAGACAGTATAGAGTTGAGTGTTAGGCCTTGAGACCTTTATAGTCACAGCTTCTGTTTAGAATGCCCTTCACTTTTGCCTGTCTATCCAGTGGAGTAGCAAACATATTTCTAAGACCCAGCAAATAACACTATACAACTTTTCTGGAGAAAGAACAATTTGTAGGCACACATTTTTTTAATGCTGAATATCTCATAAAATCGTTACATTACAAAAAAATAGGGTAAGCACTTAAGCCGGGGAACGAACTCTATTTAAATATTCATCAAAAGGGAAGTGATTTTTAAAAAGGGAAATTAAGACACTGCTAAATATTAAAATCCATGCCCCATCCCACAACCGTGCCCCTGGCAACCCACATTGAAACCCTAATCCCCAGTGCAATAAAGTGTCAAGATGAAACTTTTGAGAGGTAATCAGGTCATGAAGGTGGAACCTCTCTGATGGTTTTACTGCTTTTTAGCACCTTCTCCCCTGCCTCAATCACAGGAAGTATGGCTTCACCAGATATTGCATCTTGGACTTCTCTTGGATTTCCAGCTTCTAGAACAATAACAGATGTCGGTATACTCACTCAGCCTAGGATATTCAGTTACAGAAATCCAAATGAAGACAAAACATTTTTTGTACACTAAGTCATTAAAGAGGATTAAATGGAGCTTAGGAGGATGACTCAGTAGAAAAGAGTGTATGCTCTCCAAGCATGAGGACCTGAGTTTGAATCCCCACCAGTCATGTGAAAAGCTGGGCATGGCTGCGTGTGCCTATAACCCCAGCACTTGGGGACAGAGAGAGGTAGATCCCAAGAATTTGATGGCCAGTCAGCCTGGCCAAAACGCTGTGAGCTTCCATTTCTGTGAGAGGCAATGTGGAGAGTAACTACCAAGATCAAACATCCTGGCCTCTTCAGGCCTGCTCATGTACACACACATACACACACACACACACACACACACACACACACACACGCACCCAGGCCTGCTCATGTACACGCACGCACGCATGCACTAAATATGCATACTGACCTGGAAAGATATATGTAAAACAGAAATATCTAAAACAGCACTTAGGATGTTTAACAGTAACCCTGGGTTCCACCCACTAGATGTTCCCACTGCACCTCCCTTCAACCAAGTTTTAACAACCACAGATGTTTCCTGATGCCTAATGTCCTGTGTGAGGCAATGACCAAAATCTTCCTTTGATGACTCAAAGCTGTCATAGACGCAACTTCAAATTAATCCAGAGGTAGCGCGAGCCTCATTCCTGAAGCGTGCTCGTGTCTTTGTTCATGGTGCTAGCTGTCACCTTTACAGATAAGCTTCATTAAATACTTGGGGAAATTTAAATACAGCAACTACAAAACAATCTTTCAAAGTCAAACTTTTGACCTCACTTTCTACACTGGCTTTCTTCTCCCATTCTTAGAGGAAACACTGTTTTTTGTCTTTGTGTTTACACACTTAAAGGAGAAGGCTACTTGTAGTACCTGCAAAAGGATGATAATTGAACAGTAAAGAGAACAAACTCAAAAGGTTAGATTATCTGCTACAGCTGTCTAACCCTAGACCAAGAAAGGGAAGTGACTTTAAAAAGGGAAGACTAAGACTCTGTTCCCAAATGTTAACAGCAATAGAATGAAATGAAAACTTTTACAGTAGAGTGAAGCTTCAAAGAGAATGCCAGTATATCTGTCTGTTGGAGTGTTTAATTTGAATGTTAGCTGAACTGCAACACCCTCCTGAATTCTCCTTGCTTATGTTCTCATCAGATGATGCTTGCCCCTTCCTTTGAGAGAACTGTCTGAGATAATGTCCATCAGCCTGAGCTCAAATCTGCTGCTTTTATGTCTTCCCTACTCCTCTCCTCTCCCAAACAAGCAGAAAATTCTTGGTTCACAAAGAAACTAACTGTAGGATTACTTCTACAACTTTGTCTGTATTTAAGGGGCTGAAAAAAAAGTCAAGGTAGGATGTATTTTTTCCTTCCCAACATAAAATCACACATATAATGACACAAAACTGATACAAAAACACACCTTTCTGAATGGCAGAATAATAAAACTTTAATTCAAATCTTAATTACTGAACAATTAATTGCAAAAAGAAAATTCAATAATAATATAGAAAACTGTTAATTTGTCAGGAGTCATGATTTCACGGTAGCTGAAGAGATAAAATATTTAGTAAACCTGGATTGAGATTTATAATAAAATCACAGCACAAAATATATTGCTTGGTAAAGTCCTCAAAGTAGATTTTATTTATACATTTCTTCAAACAGTTGTGGCATTTTAAAAATCCCTCCCAAATATGACAGTTTAGGGGCAACAGTGAGAACCAGGGCCTAAAGCAAATACAAACACATGGGCTCTACTAGCTCGCTGAGCCGACACCGAGAAGCCAATTTATTCTAGAATCTCATATGTAGGTGTGCTTGAATTGGCCCCCAAGAATTGGTGAAATAAAGAGAACGTTAGGGAAAGGAGATTAGTCTCTAAAATGTACAGTCTTTGAAAATAAAACTTCGGAAATGTGGATCCGAAAAGATCTACAAAACGTGGTACAGTGTTTACACAGAGAAAATTTAAATCCCATTGACCAGAACTCAAATCTAAAAAATACTTTAAATGGCATGGCATTAGTGACATTCTCAAGGCATTCCATGTAAAAGAAACCAGTAAGTCTGCTCTCACCCCAACAAAAAGACCCAATCCCTTTCTACAGCAAAAGTATATTTGCAAGAAAAACAACACTGTACAATTAATTCACTGCTAAATTAAGATTTCTGAGGTTGTAAGAAATGGGGCCAAAACAAGACACACCCCGAAAGGGATGGTTAACACAGGAAATGTGCTGTAGTAAAGTGCATGAAAGGAAGCCTGCTCAGCTAAATGAAGTAGACAAAGGTGAGAAGTCAGGGGTCATTCGCCAGAGCGGCAGCAGGCTCGAAAACCACACTGCAAATTCTGGCATCCACTGGCGGTGTCCGCATGAGGACCTGCATGAAAATAAAGAGCATGTGAAAGGAGGAACTCTTGGAGCACACACATTCTGCTTCAGGAGCTAAACACCGTTTTATTAGCATCCAATTTATATCACAGAAGGGAAACCTTACAGGGAGTGTATTTGCAATTCAGACGAATTTTGCCAATTAACAGCCTGACTTTATCTAAAATATCCTTCGTGGTCCAAAGCTAAACGAAGAAGGGAGAGATGTTTTTCCCCAACAATGTTGCAGACTGAAACCCTGAGAAGACAAGGAGATAACCAGAGAAACAAGACTGCCCGACAGCTTGACAACAGATTCTTATATGAGCATCCTTCTTCCTAGAAACATAATTAAGGCAAAAACAATAAACCCAACCTGAACTATGTCAGCTTAAGAATGTAGTACAGAACAATTAGAGTGTCATGCTCAAAGCTTAAGACAATCTGCTACAGATATGGACCAATTATACGTGCCATACATACTTTGATAGAACATTTCTAAGCTTCCAAATAAAAACACCATACATACTTTGATAGAACATTTCTAAGCTTCCAAATAAAAACATATGGTAGCTTTAGATGAAATTATTTTCCAAAACTGAATATAAAATCAGTGTTTTAAACAAACATCTATGACATAAAGAGAACTGTGACTCACAGATGACAATAAACCATTTGTAGAATCATCAAAATGTCATCCCTGCTGTACTGCCCCACTCAGACACTAGATAGAGTCTCTACTAGGGAATAGAACTGAAAAGCAGAAAATAATGAAGTTCACAGCACATATTCAAAAGTAAGTATTCTGTATAAAAGAGTTTTCAAGGCAGGAGTGGTGGTGCACCCCTTTAATTCCAGCACTCAGGAGGCAGAGGCAGGCAGATCTCTGTGAAATTGAGGTCAGTCTGGTCTACACAGCAAGTTCCAGGCCAGCTGGGGCTACAGGAATACCTTGTCTTAAAAAAAGTTTGCATAAGGATAAACCAATGTGGAAAAGGCTGTTTCTAATATTTCCAAGTTTTAAAACTTGGTACGATGAGTACCAACTAGGAAAACAAGTCACTTGCAGCTGTGACCACACAAGGACAAAACAGACAGAAAGGCATGAAACAACTTACTACAGAATTATCTACTGGGTTGTAACTGAGACAGCAGAGTTCAGGCAAGTGACACCACCATAGTTAAGAACACAGCCTCAATTTGCACTATTCTGCTTTTTAAAGCAGTACTTTACTATAAAAGATTACTGTGCTAATACCACCACAAGAAAGCAATTATTGTACTTGCAATTAAGTATACAGAATACATGATCTTCAGACATTTAACATTTCCTTCTATTCCCAATATGGCACATATAAAAATAAATAAATTTGTTAAGATGTGGTCATTGAAGTATAATGTTCATACATTTCACTATGTAAATGACAAAATACCTTTAAAAGTTGAACTTTACATATATGCAGAACTACAGTAGCTTATAGTTTCACTTATTTAATTTTAAGATTGATATGCCTGCAATCAGCTTCAAATGTGAGGGATGCCACACATAGGGGAATGGCCAAGGTGTAAACGAAGAGAGAGGTACCAGGCTTAGAACTGTTGAAGCTCAGAGTCCATGATTGTAGGTTTGAAGATTATTCTAAAAGACTGCATAGCTACAAGCTCCTTTTAGTTGATCAAAATTAAAACCTGTTCCATTTTCAATAAAAAGTTAAATGCAAAATATTGTAAATTTACGAAACAAAAAGAATTTACAAAGATTTTTTTTTTTATTTTTGCTTAAGATAGGACACAAAGCAAAGTGATCTTAACCCATAGTCATGATAAAAAGATTCAGTGTGTATTTGTATTTGTCAACTAACCTGATGAGGAACCCTCGACTCTGAAACTCTTCCCTCACTGTCAGTCTCTTGCCAAGCTTTTCCCTGTACTGTTTCCAGCTTTGCCAGCTATGCAGCACCAACCTCAGCCTTTCCTCCTTCGAGTCTTTCCTTGCCCCTTACATGGTTGCTGCTCTGCCTGCCAACCACTGTCTTCCTCCAAGACCCAGACCTTCTCTCACTACCATCCCTCCCGAGACCACCACACTTAAATCTACTGACATGTCTGAAATGTTGGGTTCTATCAATGTAGCTCATCATTTTATCAGTCTGAGATTCCATTCTCACTAACTGTGAGAAACAAGGAAAGAGGCATGAAAACTTGATTTTCTAAACAAAAGTACCTACCATAAAGCATTTTACAGTGTCTATACCAATACAAAACATAAACGGGGTTTTTTTTGTTTTTTTTTTTTTCTTGTTGTTTAAGAGACCCATTTTGTCATGCTGGCCTCAAACTCCTAGACTTAAGGAATCCTCATGCCTCAGCCTCCAAGTAGCTAGACTACCCTGCATCTACCCTGCATAGAGACTATTATAGTGAATAGTTGCGGGGGGGGGGGAGCAACATAGATTATAGAAGCTGTGTCTACAGCTCATTTTTAAGGGAAAACAGTAAATGGGAACCGCAATAGTTCAAGTGGATCAAGGACACCACTCTCCTACTAGACTCTTAAAAATTCAAGGCCTATTCCCTTTAAATAAATGTCTGACTAATCACCAGCAAATTTTCACCTCAGTGCTGGAGACAGAAGCTACACAGTTATGATACACCGGGACTAAATTAATATAGAAAGCTACAAAGCAAAATTTCACAATCATTAAAGAAATTAAGCTTATACCAGATGAAAAGAATTACAAAGGTAGCTAATTTGTTTATAAGACAACACAGTCTTCCTTGGTTTTAAGTACTGTATATTATTCATGCTGTGGGTATGTCTTCACTTACCTTCACTTACCTTTAATTCCTTTTTAACTTAAATTAGAAACATAAAAAGAGCAAATCATCTGACACTGTCACCTCCAGAACTATGAACTAGTCTATCTTAATTCCTAAATTATGCATACCCTGAAATGCAGATCAGTACAAAAGCAAGCGTTTACTTGCTAACACTGTTCTTCAGAGCTCTGAACTATGCCGTTATAATGAACGCTTCCGTGATGCTAAAGATCTGTGTAAATGCTGTAGCTAAGAAGACCCTTACATTCAAATCAAATAACAAATTAAAATTCATGGAGACTCATTTGGAAGAATCGAAATGTGCACCTGGCATCAGAACTTAGTGCAATGTCTGGCTCAAAGCAGGACGTGAACAGCTGACAGCTATCTTCCTGCATCTCTCCTGGTGCCTAGGACATCGTTCTGCCTTTTCATTCTAACAGCCTCCAGTCAAGGTCTATCAACATTTACTTCTTAGAGCCAAAAATGTGGGTGATTATGAAGCTTTTCTTTTGGCAAAATATATTTTAAGTTAAATTTTATTTTCAAATCTTTATGTCACCTAAATATGCTTCATCATTACGCTAAGATGACGTCATCACATACTACTTTCAGAAACAAAAATAAAGAGGGTCCTAAACATTCAAGTATTTCATATACAAGATGAGTTTTGAAAGATACCATGTCAATGGTGTCATCTTAAAAATTGGATACAATTTTGACACTTTCTAGGTTGTCCACGTGCCCTTCTAAGGAAAAGATTGTATCAGAACATTGCTTTAAGAGAAACTACCTGGAATTCTAGAAAACAAGTTATATGACAAGTCACCCTGTAAACTTTAAAGGACTTCTGTTTCTGCCAAGTCATGCTTTATCAAAGTATAAAAGGAAATTTCATACTGGATTATTTCAAACACTGTAAACATTCAAAGCTTTCAAAATCAGATCTCTTCATTAAAATTTGCTTATAGAAAATTGCAGAACATTTATCAAAAAATCTTACATTCAACAAAAGGAATAAAACAGCTACTTTGGAATATTACAATTATATATTCAAAACAAATTAAGATGAAAACAACTTTTAAATATTTATATTTTCATTTAAAAATTTTCAACAAGTTTAAAAACACATGAATACAAAATAAGTAGACAGAGAAGTTGAACCAAAACTCAATACTTCACCACCAAAATATCCATATCCATACACCATAATAAATTAGGTCATTAGATTTGTTTCTGTACAACCAACTTTAAATATTTATATTTAAGTATACAATTCAAGTATAAGAAATAAATAGCTTATTAAAATTGCTTACTGCTCAATCTGGAAAATACTTCTTACAAGCCTTAGGAATAAGGTGAAACTACAATTACATAGCTTTATTTTTTATTTATTTTTGTTTTATGTGTATTAGTGCTTTGCCTGCATGTATATATGTGTACCACATGCTTACAGTGCCCACAGAGGCCAGAAGAGGGTGTCAGATGCCCTGTTACTGGAGTTTCAGGCAGTTGTTAGCTGCCATGTGGGTGCTAGAAACCAAACCCGGATCCTGTGACAAGAGCAACAAGGGGCTCTTAACTGCTGAGCCATCTCTCCAGTCCCCTTTTTCAAAGTTACGTGTGTGTGTGTGTGTGTGTGTGTGTGTGTGTGTTTCTATGTCTGGGTATGTACATATGAAGTACATATGAAGAGGCCAGAAGAGGTGTCAGATCCCCTGGAGCTGGAGTCACAGTTGGTTGTAAGCTGCCCAAGGCAAGTGTTGGGAATCAAACCTTGGTATTCTACAAGAGCAGTACACTCTTAAAAACTGAGTCATCTATCCAGCCCCCCATAGCTTTATTTTATTTTTAAAGATTTACTTTTATTTTACATGCATGAGTGCTTTGTCTACATGTATGTATGTATGTATACTATGTGTCTGCCTCGTGCTCAAGGAGGTCAGAAGAGGGCATCAGATTCCCTGGAGCTGGAGTTACAGTTGGTTATCAGCTGCCCAACATGGGTGCTGGAAACCAAAACTGGGTCCTCCGCAAGAGCATACTCACTTTCTCAAAAGAATTTTTTAAAGATTTATTTTCATTTCATGTGTTCAAGTGTTTGCCTGAAAGTACTTAAGTGTGCCCCATGCATGCCTGGGGCTTGCAGAGGCCAGAAGAGGAGGGCATCAGATCTCTGGAACTGGAGTTAAATACCAGTGTTAGTTGTCATGTGGGTCCTGGGAACTGAACCTGGGTCCTCCGAAAGGGCAGCACCTGCTCTTAACCTCTCCAAGCCCTCGTAGCTTTATTTTTTAAAACAAAACAGAACCCTTCTCAAGCCCTTTGCAGTCACAAAAGTAACTGCTTCATTCTATCACCATACTGTTTTTCCAGGCTCAGCAGGCTACAACCAAAACAACACTCACTTTCACAATTACTTGATTATCCACTGCAAGCAAGCGAGAGCAAAAATATGCTCCATTGTACTGATTTTATCAAGAACATGAGGTGATCTCTTGTAAAACAATGGGATTCCAGAAATAAGAGAGCTAAGATCTGTCTTCTCATAGATTTTAAGGAATATCTCATTTCTAAGCAATGGGAAATTGCTAACTTGTTTGAATCCCGAAATGTTATTACTCTCTTTAGTTTTCCTGGCTCCTGTAAATTTTTTTCTGTCTGGAAAAAATAAAACAAAACCTTCTTTTATTTTCCTCTCATTTCAAATGAACTGGGCACTCAAAGACAACATCATATGATATAAACAAATAGGCATATAGTAGAATCTGAGTCATCTAAGCTTATTCAGGAGGATTAAATATATATATATATAATTAAAATATGAAGATCCAGTAAAAAAAAAAGAACAAATTCAGGAGGATTTGTTTCACTTGTTAATAATTAAGGAACAGCTTTTTATGCTTCTGAGAAATTCAGTCTTTACTAAAGGCAGTAAAATGCCCCAAACAGCACCAAATGTAATTTGAAAAATGCATGCTCAAAAAGGCTCATTGAAGATTACAGAGTTTTAAAAAATGCTTTATTGATGCTTGGGTTTTTTGTGTTTGCAATTGTTTTTGTGTTGGGTATTTTGTTTTTGTTTTTTGAAGACAGGATCTCAAGTAGCCCAAGCTGTCCTTGAAGCCAAAGATGATCTTGAACTTCTGGCCCTCCTCTTCTACCTCTTGAATGCTAGGATTCAAAGCATGAACCACCATTCCTGGTTTATGTGATCCTGGGGCTCAAACCCAGAGCTTCATGCATTCTAGGCAAGCACGTTTACTACTGAAGCTACATCCTCAGGCCAGAGCTATGATTTTTAATAGTAGGTTCAAGAATCAACTCCTAAAATAGTGTAGGAAGTTTGGTCATATCTAATGACTCTCAGCTGTTTCTCAGTACTACACACTATTCTCCTCAATCTTCAGAGATTAATATGAATATTTAAAAAAAAACTTACCTTCACAATGTTACTTAGAATGTGTAATATTTTTATTTTATTATACTTAATGGACCAAATCATTCTAATTTTATTAAATTCAAAGGACTAAAAGTGAAAGTAAGACAACTTTGCAGTTAGGAATCCAAAAAGCCAATAACCATAAAATTCTAAGAATTAACCCCTTAGAAGTATCTCACTGTTAAGAAGCATTACCGTTGATGTTGTCACAGTAGTAAAAGTATTCATCATTCAGAGAAGGGCACGCTGAAACCAAATCCTGCAGACCTGCACCAGTCACAGTAAGACAGCCAGAGAGGTTTAGGTGCTCCAGATAAGGCAGTCCTCCTCCCAAAGTTAGAACCCTGCAGGAAAAGAATTGACAATTAGGACATATTTTTCTTTTCTTCTCTCTCTCTCTCTTTTTTTTTTTTTTTTTTTCCCGGTCTTTTTGAGACAGGGTCTCCCCCAGCTGGCCTCACTAGGTAGACGAGGCTGGCCTTGAACTCACAGAGATTCACCTGCCTCTGTCTTCCCCAAGTGCTGGGATTAAAGGTGTGCGCACCCATGCCCAGCCAGACATATTAACTTCAAAGACTCTTCTATTTCCATGGCCCACTAGATAGATATTTTACATACATTTCAATTTAGTAACAAGAAAATTTAAGAATTTTTATGAAACATTAGATAACCAACTTGATCCTCAGGCAAAAAATACACCTGACTCAGAAAAATGTTCTACATGTTTCCTGAAGCACACTATGATGTTCTTCTTTATAAGATCACAGCGACCCAATTCTCACAGGAAGGAAGCACTGAACCTGGAGTTATAATGGTCACTCACTCACCAAATTCTCTAAGAAAGTAAAAATTACTGGGAAAATACTGAAATCTTAAACCTGATTACCAGTTTTACAGTTCCTCTAACCTACAGACAGAATCAGCACAAATACAACCTAGTCATTCTCCTCTTAACACACAAGATAATTATAAACATGCTTATACAAAACTTCCATGTGAATGAATGTTCACAGCACTATTCACAACAGACAAAACAGTAACTCAAATGCCCACGATGAATGGAGACAAAAATGTGGTATACACATACAACTAAGTGTTACATGTAGCTATGAATACAGACACACACTGTGATATGCATAAGCTCAGAAACATTATGTTACGTGGAAAAAGTAAACATGTACTATTACTTTTCAACAACAGGCAAATCCACAGAGACAGATGGTAGGTGATTGGTTACCACAGGCTGGGAACAAGAAGAGTCTAAGTAATTGTTAATAAGTATGGGGTTTTTCTTTGGGGAGGGTGAAAATATTCCTTAAACAGTTAATGGTGAGAGCTTCCCAACCTTGTAAATACAAAAAACACTTAAAAAAAAAAAAAAAAAACCCCACCCAAAACGACTGACTTAAAGTGGTGAATTTAATAGTATGTTCAATGTTCAAAAGAAAACCTAATGACACATTCAAGAATAAAAACAACCAGGGCTGTGATTAAAATACATCAAGAACAAAACTGAGAAGCTCAAGTTTCTATACAATTTAAAGTAATATTACAACAGCAAAAACAAGGGATAACTGGAAACATAAGAGATAAATGCCAAGAAACTAACACAACCAATTTAGTTTAGAAATTCATGTTATGATGCAGGAGTAGTAAATTAGGAACTAATGTCTGAACTTGCAGTCATTCTCCATCTTCCTGAAAGCTGAAATTCAGACACATTGTCACCATCCCTGGCCAGTGCTATGGAAATATTGATATTCAGTGAAGGTATTGAAAGGTAAAGGCTAGGAGAGTACATCTTAAGTCTTCTTTTAATTGTACATTCTGTGGCTTAGCACAGCTGCTGTAGCCACAGCAACTAGGAAAACACTGCTTTTTGGAGACACGGTCTGACCATATAGCTCAGGTTTGCCTTGAACCCACGTAGCCAAGGATGGTCTGGAACTCAAAATTGTTTTGCCCCAGCCTCCCAAATGTTAGGGTTATAGGCCTGTACCACTGCACCTGGCCCATGAAAAGTCTTTAAAGGAAGCAAACACGTAACTTAAAAGTTCAAGAATTCTAACAAGTTGAGTAGCTCACAATAAAAAATATGTGGGGTCCAGGGGCTGGAGAGATGGCTCAGTGGTTAAGAACACTGGCTGTTCTTGCAGAAGACCCAGGTTCGAATCCCAGAACCTATATAGCAGCTAACAACAGTCCATAACTCCAGTTCCAGGGGATGTAACATCCTCTCTGTCCTCCGCGGACATTGCACAACATGGGTGCACTTACCTACATGCAGGCAATACACACATACACATAAAATTAAATATATATTATTTTTTTAATGTGGGATCTGGAGAGATAGCTCAGTGGTTAAGAACACTGGTTGCTCCTGCAGAACACCTGGGTTCAATTCCCAGCACCCACATGGCAGCTAACAACCATCTGTAACTCCAGTTCCAGGGGATCCAACACCTTCTTCTGACCCCTGCAGGCATTGCACAACACGGTGCACTTACACACATGCAGGCAATATACTCATACATGTAAAATAAAAATAGTAAATAAAATTAAAAAAATAAAATATGTACCTTTAATAGGTAGTCTAAAAGATCTCAAAAGGTATCTCAATGCAGAACTGCATGAACTATCATATTTTCTATTATGAGTATGCTTGAATAAGCCATCTGTACAGTCGCTGCCTGGGTAGAAATGAAGCAAGCACAAAGTAAACACGCAATTATTATCGCAGATGATGAGCACTCTTCTGGAAACACACAGAAGAATCTTGAGAGGTCAGAAAATGCTTCCTGTAAGTGCCATGTACTATGAGAGAAATGGTGAGCAGAATTTAGCCAATAGTGCAGCTAGAAAGAGAAAATGCAATTACTGCAGACAAAAGCAGCAGAGTATCATGGATAATGAGAAAATAGCTGTATGGCTAAAAGGGTGGGCTGTGTGTTGGTGTTGCTATCTAACTGTTCACTGCCTTTTCTTGGCAAGGGTGGGAATAGAAGTAAAGGAAACCAAACTCAAGCTACAGGCTAAGAGTGAAGGCCATGAATATGGGCTTTAACAAAAAGGCAAGATGGCTCAATGAAAGACTCAGAGGTAAAGTAAGAAGTAGGAAATACCTTCTAGAAAGATCTCTTGTCTATGTCTTATCACAAATGCCCAAGTATGCCAAGCACAGGCCTAAGTAACAAAATGACCAATAAATAAAATACAAGTTTTGCCCTCTGATGGGAAAGAAACATTTAAACAATAAATAGAGCACACACTGAAAAGAAAAAGCTACAGAGATGTGTACAAGCTATAGAAACTATGCAGATAATAGTGATTCAAAGGGAACAGCTGTCAAGAAATGAAATAAAGTCCAAAATTCACCAGTCTGGTACCCAATGAAAAAGTATTAACATTCAAAGAACTTGGGAGAAAAAAAGCATCAATACGTGATAAGTTGACAGAATCAGGAGAAAATGACTTTAAGAGCTTTTAGAAGTGATGTCATCAAGAGCCAACTTAGAGGCTGGTAACAACTGATTCCCCCTCAAAGACAAGCAAAACAAGTTACATTTTGATGAATGGAGCACAAGAACAGGACCTACACCAGGAAGTGCAGAGCAGAGGCTCACACTGGTCTCCTCCCAGCACCCAATCCCCAACCAGCAACTGAGAGGGACTTCAGACTGCAGGTCAAAGAACAAAGTTCAGCGGGGCCCCTCCATCTCTCACAGTCCTCAGCTGAGGGAGCCCCCGAGTGCCCACAGCTGTGCTCCCAACAGCAGGAGCCAGCACTGTGTTCCATTCCCCACCCATGTAGCTTCTGTTCTGACATCATGGAACCCAAACAACTGCTGGAACGTGCTGCTCCAGAGGAAGTAGTCATGGGAACCCTTCTATCCCTAAAGCTTAGAGATCTCAAAGTCAACCCTGCTGACAGCCCAAGTTCCCCAGTGCCCAGGGAATCAATGCCCTAATCACGCCAACTAGCCATGACCCCCTGTGTCTGAGGTGAAATGGTACCCCACCTCCAGAGAAAATGGCATCTTAGCCACCCAAAGGAGTCACATGCCCCCATGCACAAACTGAAACAGCATACTGCCCTGTGGAAGCTAAAACCAGGTCCCTGGGTCCACGGTGCTGACAGGTGCCTCGGAGTCAGACACTAGTTTTAAAGTCAATGTGCAACCAACTGCCTCAGAGACTGACCCTGACCCCAAGACTCAAGTGTCACACAGGTTCCTAAGATCCTAAGATCAGTACCCCAATTCTATAGCTGCTCTCAAAACCTGCACTCTGAAATAGAACATCTCTGCACATTCTTGTAAAAGCTGTGCCAGACCAGATACCCAAAAGGATATCTTTGGCGAGGACCACACATAGGAAAACAAGAACAGGGGAACGCAAAAAGCCCATGGTCACAAAGCCCAAAGCAATTCGCAATGTTAGTAACTGCTACCACAGATTCCTGCAACCCGAGTCACCACAGTCATTGCTGATCCAAAACTGCTGAAGAAGTTGCCCAGAGGATGTACCAGTACATATATCTGGAACCAGAGCCACTGCGTCTTTCCTAAGGCCCATTTTCAGGGAGAAATCCCCTACAAGAGCCATAAAGCAAAGTTTGGAAGAAGATAACTCTCTTTCTATTAGATGTGCAAAAACCATGCTGAGACACAAGACAAAGCAAAGAAACAGGACACTGCCAAAGAAACACAATAATTTTCCATAGTGGACTCTGAAGAAAAGAAAATTTATGAATTCTTTAAAAAAAAATCCAATATGAGCTCAAGAAACATTGTCAATGAGACATGAGAGAACAGAGACAATTCAGTGTAATCAGGAAGATCATTTCTAATCGACATGGGAAATCCAATAAATAGGTAGTATTAAAAAGAATCAAAGAACCATATTACTCCTACAACCTACTGACAAATTATACATAGGAGATCAAGAAATATATGTCTAGCTAAGGTTTATCTGAGAACAATTGGTCTTTGCTTAAGATTTATCTATATGGCACACAGTAATTAAAAGTACCAAACTG